TGGTTATATGGTCAAGGCAGCAAGACAAATGACAATGAAACAGCATTGTGGCTAAAGACTTGAGGGCTACATTAGCAGGTAAGTGCTCATTTCTAGAAAAGTTACTAGTGGCACTTGAACTCCAAATTAGGCTTACATTTACTACACACTAGTCTCTCTCTAATTCAGATAATGTAGCATAGTTTTACTTTTTATGCAAGTTTTCACACTGTCCTTCCCAACAAAGGCTCAGGGCAGCTTAGAGTAAGAAAAACAAAACTTAAAATGGCAGCCAGCATAAATAGAACCAAGTAGCAAAATAAAACAAAATAAAGCTGAAATCCATTAAACAATGTCTTATCTTAGCTTTTGTTGCTAAACAGAAAGGTCATGGTTGATAGATTAATATCTGTTGAACAGAAGGTCTTAAGATATTTCCTCTAGCAACTCTAAATCCATAATGGTAGATGCCAGGGGGGTAATGGACAGTAGATAGAGCACTCTAGATACTTCCAGTTCAGTGCTTTCCCACTAGCATCCACTTTTGACACCAGAGACCGGATGCTGGGCTAGATGGACCATTACTCTGACCTACTATGGTACTTCTTAATGTCTTGCAGGACATCCAAAAGATGTCCAGGCTCAGGCTCTGCCCAGCCTCAAGAGGAAGGGAAGTTCCAGAGCTGAGAAGCAACTACTGAGAATGACCTCCTATATACTTTCACCAAGTGAACTTAGTGTGCTGATGGTATTTGTAAGAGGTTGTTCTCAACTGACCTTATGGATTGCAATGGGGTTTAAGACAGATGGTGATTCCTCATACTTCTAATTCCAGATGAGAACACCAATTTCTCATACAGAGAGAAGAAACATTAACAGAAAGGCCATAAGCATTAGCACAAATCAAAGATGAAGACTCTACCTTTGTCTGGTTCAACCATGTCCAGTGAACTCCCCCTTACACACACAAGGAAGGGCTCAACCTCCAGAGACCGCAGTCTTCTAAGCCTATGCATATCCCACAAGGACAAGGGTAGGCAACCTTTTCTGGCAGCAAGTGGGAATGATGCACCCAGTGAGAGACTGGCAGGCATTAGAACCCACCATTTGTCTCCACAATACCATACAGAGTATCAGCAGCCAACCCCCCACTACCCTACCCCAACCAATACCCCATATCCCCAGGCCAGATCCAATACATCTGCAGACTGGAGCCAGCCTGTGTGCTGTAGGTTGCCAACCCCTACCAAAGGATACATCTGTGACCCGAGTACAGACATAACATGAAAACATAGTCCCGAGAATGGCTCACACTTCCCCTCCTCCCCCCAACTCCTTTAATAAAGGACATCATAAGTGAAAAAGAAAATAGTGAAATTTAGAGCAGAAAGTGTTGTCTGCAAAACTAGTCTCCTTTACCTGAAAGCCACAAGACCCATAGCAGGATATACAGACTGTTTTTCAGCTATTGAGCAGGAAGGTGGCAGTGTGAACCTGTAAAAACAGTCCTGTCATTCTTCTGCTTAGGCAAATGGACATGTCATCAAAAATTGCATCTTTGTTCTTTCAAATCTTGATCCTATTCAACAGAAAACATCAGCCAGATTTCTTTCCTCCAGCGCAATCCTTCCTCATTCAAAAAAGCAAAGTAACCAAAAGAACCATTCCTTCAGCAAATATATGAAAAATAGAAGTCTCTATAAAGGAGGCCTGCACTGAAACAGCATATGACCAAAAAGAAACAATTTTGAAGGTGCGTAAAAGGAAGAAAGGTCACAAGGAAAGCAACATAAATTTCACACTTAAAAAAATAGCAAGATTAGAGTCTACAAATACCAAGCATAGGGAGGATTTTCTACTTAGCAAACAGGAGTGTATTTTTCAAAACCTACCGACAACCTGCATTAAAGTGTTTGTAAGGCATTTCGTGCATATATTCATGATCTACGTCAACACCTATTTCACTATTGGGGGTGGAAATTAACCCTTATGGCTGCAAAGAAAACTTTCCAAACATAAGCCAACAATAAAGGGATGCGTTTGCCCAAGCCTGCAGTTCATATCTTATTGTTTTAGCTTATCTGCAGCATTCATAGTGGTTTAAATCAAAACACAGATGACTTTTTAGACATAAATGTTAACTTGCTATTAAAAGTTACAATTTTCAGGTCTTGAAACTGGTATCACACTTCACATTTTAATTTTTTATTTGAACATTTAAGATAATTACAGTTGTAAGGTTCATGTTCCCAGTGACATCTCCCAGTAGCTGCCACCAAAACAAAACATTCAAACTTTCTGCATGGTTAACAATGTTACATTGTAGTTACCAAAATTACATTTAACTTTTTGTACAATTTTTGTTTACATATTACAGAGAAAGTCTATTGGGACATCTTTTTAACAGCAGAAATCAGCTTGATTATGGTTTAATGTTAATAAAAATGAAAACTGAGGTCTGTACTGAAGGACAGTACTGTACATGAGAGGTATTCATTTAGCACGCTTACTGTACTTTGGCAACACAATCTCTATGATGTACTTTGCAAACCTGCTAGTAATGGATTTATATTCATAAAGCACATTGCAATTACTATAATTATTGATAATCAAATTTGGATAACTAATATATTTTAGACATTTGAATATCCCTTGTTGTAAAATTTGCCTGTTTTAGCTAAGAGGGCAATACAATGTAGCTTTTTTTAATCCCTGGAGCATTTTCATTTCATATATATGCTTATTAACGCCTACTTTATATCACTTGCAAGTGAATCTTCTTTTTCAGATGAGAAATCCCCCTTTATAGTATTTTTCAAAAAACAGTGGACAATACCTATAATGACACTGATTAAATACCTATGTTGAAACATAATGCAAAGATGTTAATAATTGATACTCACCAATATTTTGCATCACATATTTCAAGCTTAATTACTTAATCAGTGCCAATTTACATAATCTAAAAGATGTACCCACCACTTCAGCCATTCAACAGCTCTTATTTCCTCGCATGGCAAAAATCCTACTTTGTTGAGTTCAGTCATGAAATTCACTGGTTGGCAAAGGTTTTTTGTTTTGGAGAAGCATTGTATTCCATCAACATATTGGAGAAGGAAGACCCAGATATAAAATATACCATTACAAAAAACAATGTGGAAAAATGTCTGGCAGATTAAGCAATTATTTGTAATGCAGGAATTTAAGTAAAACAAAACTGGAAGAAGCTATTCAAAGAGAACAATACCAATTTTACTGAGGCATAAGTAATATTAGATGAACAGCTCAGTGAAATAAAAGCCTGCTAAAAATTCACAGGAATAAACTAAGAGAGGAGCTAATATTCGACAGTTAGAAATATTTGCTTCCATGGATAACTCTTCCAGTGAAGTATTATTGTGCCCTGACCTGTAACAACCATGCAAGAACTTACTGTAGTCATCATTTGAGATACGCTGTGTCCATTATTGCACCTATATACACAACGAAACAGCCAGCTAAAACAGTTCCAAGGTAAAGAAAGTGAAATCTGAGGTTACGTTTGAATGTGAAATTGTTTAATGTTTCTAGTTAGATTTTGCATAGGCTGTAAAATACTCTAGGTGGGCCAAAAAATAAATAAATAAAAGTAATAATCTACAGCTAGGATCAGCTGCCTTAACAAGGACAATAAAACTGCACAAAAATTCTTATCTGTGGAATTTCAGGACATGTTATTTAATTATTCCATTTGGTTCAGAGATCATTAAAAGCCACATTTGGAGGACAACGCAGCTCAAAGACAATATTGCTGCCCCAAAATAGGCCTGTTGACCCTTTTCCCACCATGAAACAGAATTTTTAAAACTCCAAACTTCCTCTCTGAAACGATAAAGAACCAAATCACCTTTATTAGTTGCATCTGAAACAACTCAATGCCAGTGAGGTTAAGTAGTAGATGTAGATACTAGACATCGTATATGTAAATATAAACAGTGTGTAAATTTGATTATAATCTTTTTCCTTCATGAATTGGTGGCATTGGATTATAACATTCTTCATGGCAGGAACAGTTTGCTTAGTATCTAGCAGAACAGAGCCTCTGTGCATGTTTGCAACATGATTCCTCATGACTCAGAGAAGTATATCACAACATATTAACTATTGCAAAGTTAAGCAAATAGCAGAAAGTTTATGTAGACAAGTTGAAAAATACAGATAAATGAATATTATATTAAAAGACAAAGTTACAGCAGAATCAGTAGTTGTACATTCAGTGATATACAGTCCTGAAAATTACAGGTTTCAAGAAGTTGCTTTATCTTCTTCCTTAGATTACAGGATTTGGAGGCGGCTAAAGAAATCCAGGATACCACCAGTGTAAGTTTCTTCAGTGCACTGTTATACTTTGATCTTCCACCTCATTTTTATGGTCTTTAATATGACTAGGAATGTCCATTATATTACCATACTCCTCTAAGATATTCTTATGTGCTTTCCCTTCTTTCCATGTTCATTTAACGGTCAAAAGTCCCTTCAGTTCTATCTACACTAGTTTGCCTCCTATTGAGAAGTCTCACTCACCTGACCTATTTCAGATCAGCCTACTGATAGCCAAATTAAGTTTGCTAAGGTTCACTTGTGTTCTACCGTGTCATTGCAAGCACTACATCCTTTGCAAAATATTAATACTGTGCATGGGTTAGCCATGCAAATGCAATCAAACCAACTTTGATTTAACTAGGTAATATGGACAGGGCAAAACTGTTTTAACCCTACACATAACCCTGGCTGGAGCATTTTTAATCCAGTTGACTAAAATGTATTACAATTCAGCTTTAATAAAATGTGCTCAAACAGGATTGTTAAACATGAGTACAATCCTTTAAAAAATTCATATAAAGCATTCTTGTAGAGTAACTAGCACCTAGGCAAACAGTGTACGTTCTAGAATTATTTTAGTGTAATGCAAAACTTAAAAGGGTGAAATAAGCAAGGTAACTAGTTTGTTCCCCCCGCCCCCCCTCCCCACAAAAAAGTGATTTTTTTTTTAATACAATCTCATTAAAACCTATTCTGAGGTAAATACCTATTCTGAGGTATTACTTAAGATTACATATATACCATACTAACACCTCATGTCCACAAATAAAGGCTAAATATAGTACGTCAAGCAAGCTATAAAAATGGGAGAAATAATGTAGCTGGTATTCAAGTGTTACTGTACAGAAATTGTATATGCATGTAGTGCAATACTTCATGCAAGTAATGCAGAAAGTCTATATACTGGGTATATTTACATCCAAATACATAATGTGGACAATTATCAAATACAGTATTTAAATTGTACTTTAACTAGTCAATGTTTCCATTGAGAACCTTAATTCAAATAAATCATAACTTTTTGGGGGTGAGAGGATGAAGGACAAAGTAAAAATTATAAAGAAAACATTTTAAAGGTCTGTTCATAAAGCTCGTTCATACTGTTAAAATGAACTGAAAGTAAAATGAAAGGATACTAAAAACTGTTAGTTGGCCTTATACAGCATTTTCAATTAAAAAGGCCACAAAGAGCCAAGTTTTACATGGTATCACTTGATTTGTTTTTATTTTACACCAAGAGGTGAAAGCAACACATTTCTTTTCAATAAAGTATACACAAATAGCCTCACTCAGAATACACTTTTAATGCACATAAAAAAAGTATTCATCTTACAAACTGTTTTGCAATCCAAATATACAATAGCTTGGAAAACAAATATTTTAGAAAACAAAAGCCAATGTAAAAAGACTGCTAAAAACAACTAAAACAATAAAGGTTTCTGTATGGCTCTTTCTTTACAGTTTTCTTACTGCATCATCAATATCAGAAATCTGTTCCTTCAGCTGGTTCCACTGTTCTGGATTTAAAGAAATACCTGAAATGCATTTAAAAAAAAAATCCTTAGTGCAACAGGAAAATTAAGATTCAAGAGTCTGTGCAGATTTAACCACCTTACTATATCATCAGTATTTTCATAACTAAGATTGGCATTACACTCAGTACAGCTAAAGCAGTTGTTCACCATAAAATCTACATTTAACTTCAAGTTAAATTAGAGGTTAATCTGCTTCTGAATGCTGTTTGGCTTCAGAAGAAAATACAAAATGAATACAGCCCCTTTACAGAAAACCTTCGAGAAGTGTAAGGATAATCAGAGGAAGAGAAACTATAACTATAAGCATTCCAGCTCTGGAAGAGCCGGAGAGGCCCAAGCTGCTTCTTTCAGGCTTCTATAAGCTAAAAATTGATCTTACCCACATGTACATTCATTATGCAGAGTTTTTTAAAGCAGCATCACAAATACTGTGGGGTGGACAGTGTCATTACAGACTTATTACCATATCCTACTCCACCCACCAGACAAGCATGACATTTAACTACACTTTCCCATGGACCAATTTTATTGCACTTTAAAGATCAAAAAAGTTTAATTTGGAGTGGGGGGAAGGAAAGGAAGTGCTTTCTGTTCTTGACACCAGTTAATTCAAGCATACTATGATGTTGGTTTATCAAGTGTTCAGAGACAGCTGTTTCCATTTTTTAAGAATCTTAAACAACATATTAAGACTTAATATAAAATTTTGCAAATGAAATCACAGCCACTTTCAACAGTTAGCATAAGTCTTATCATGGCATCAAGTATTTTAATTCAGCTTATATCCTCAAACTGGGTAGACTGAATTTACTAATCATACATACCCTTATATATAAATGCACACATACTTAATACATTCATATATACATTTTATTTCATTTATTTTACTGATTGAGAGTTTGTGGGCTTCTATTCACGTTTGAAGTCTCAAACAATGAAATAAATACAGAAAATAGGATAATCTCACCAGCTTGTTTAAAGCCAAAAAATATCTGACACAAAGTGCTGCTCATGAACAAATGAGTTGTACAAACATAATTTAGTTTTAAATCAAAATTATATTCTTCAGAAAACTTTGCTGTAGCCTACTTTGAGAGCTGCAACAAGGTTTGAGCAGAAAATATTTTCTAAAAGCTTCTGTAGTACGATGACCAAATAAGACAAACTGAACTAAGAAATTTTCTAGAATGCAGCATCTTCATCTGCCACCTGTTTTAATTCATCGACTTAGAGACAAAATAGATATTCTACTTCCTTCCCCTCCACTCTGCCTGTCTCTCTAATTAGATCGAAACTAGTCTAGATTTAGAAAACACCCTTTCAACACCTGCTGAGCAAGCTCTACTGCAAGAAAAGAATCATTGCCACTTAATTTGCATCTATGCAATTGGCCAACAGTTTTCATCAGTTCATAAGAGTTTATTTCACTGATTTCAGAGCAAACACTTAAGATTTTTTCTCTTTCAACTCTAAAATCATACTTCAGCAGACATGACTGAGAAGCTGTTAACAGTTTCCTCTGGCAAAACTGTATCCACCTGACTTGTACTTAAACATCAATCTTGGCAATTCCAGATTGAGCATGCAAGAAAGAAAAATCAGATGTAAATGATTTACATACCTGTTTGTGTTTTGGTTTTTTTGTGGTAAAAACAATCCGAACTCCCCCCCAACCCACAAAGTGTTTCCTGATTTTCTTCCAAATTTTCTTTCTTCTTTCTTTCAACAGCATCAACAATAAGCCATTGCTAGATTGTTAACCCATCTACATTTATCTTGACTTTCAGGTACCCTTTATTTTTGCCACAATATCCCATATAAACTGCAATCAGTTTAGTTAAATGTTTAATCAGGGAACACAATTATATTATATACACACTGGAGTACAGGAACATATTTTACTTCTATATAGTGTTGTTAATGCAAAAGTAGTTTATAATTTCAGCAATATTTCCCTGGGTACCTTGGATAGCAAAGGCTGTATCTAAAAGATGCATCAAATAAATGTTACATGAAAATTTACACTTACTTTATTACTGCTTTAGAAAATGTTTGCCACAATAGCATGATGGTACACATGTTCATATTGGAGTTTTATCATTATTTCTATCAAATACTGACTAATTAATGAAGGAGCCTGGTCTGCCAAGTGTTTGCCAACTACACAATCCCAACCCATCTTGGGTCATTTATATGGATTTCTTCATCTCTATAGACACTGCTCTTCCTATCAACCTTCAGCTTCATTTAGGGTTTTGTCCACAAGGAACTATGCAAACTTAATATCCAGCCTTAATATCCAACTTAATATCTAAAATTAAATCCCTAAAACATTATTCAATCAATAGATAATGTTGCCCAAATGCTGTCTCATAACCTTTTCACAAGGGTATAGAGCGGTTAAACCTAAGCCTCTGAAAACCGGGAAAAACAAACTGGAAATCAATGCCACTCCTGCAATATCATCTTAACTCTCTCTTCACAGGGGACAAGGGCTGCAAGCAATAATTCAGTAATGGTGTCAATACTAAGTATCCAAGAGGAACAACTGAGAGGTGTTAATTATACTGCTTTCCAAATATGAATTGCAGTACCACCATAAAACAAATTGGATTACTGGGTTCCAAAACTTCCATCGTCACCTTAACTACATTTAGAGATCAACTCATTTTTAGTTCCAACTCAAATGGTTTCTTCTGGTCAACAGATATTCCAAAGTGAATGCTTCCCTTTAAAAAGTTATAACAGCTCATTTGCACTCATACAATTCAACACAGATCAAACAGTTTTAACTGCAAAAAACTGACAATTTCAAGAAAATTTAGTTCACATAAAATGCTGACATGAGAAACCAAAAAAGTCAAAGTATAAACATCTGTTCATATATATCACTATACCATCTGTATAGCAGATCCACTTGCTTGTGGTTAGTGCTTTACTCACTTGAACCAGACATTTTGACTGTGGACAAAGTTCAAACTTCACAGTATGATTTGTCAAAAATGTTATGAAAACAATATGGATATTTGACTGCCTCCATTTACATTATGAAAATATACTGCTGGGAAGAGATGGGAACAGGGGGACATTCTCAGGCCATAATCCAATGTTCACTGGGGTCAATGGGAATCTTTCCTTAAATTTCAATAGGTACTGAACTGGGTCTTAAAGAGCAAACTTCTAACTTAAAAATATTTGAACAGACTCATCTCAATTAACCAATCAACAATAGTTTTTTTGTTTGTTTATTAATTTTGTTCTAAAATGTAATGAAAACACTAACACTACTCACCAAAGGTCCAGAATACTCTAATTACAGAGAAACAGTATCTTCAATATCAACCTTAGCATCAGTACCACACTTTTCAAAACATAGTTTCATCCTCACTAACAAGCCCTGAATTTCTATTATGCTTATTGCAGCATGCGATCCTTTATTAATGGTATTAAATGGTATAGCAATCTCTTTAAAAATATTCCCATAAGGGACTTTTTAAAGTTCGGAGACATTGTAGGTTTCCCCAAAAAATGTCTAGCATTTTAGCTTATGCGTATAACATTGTAAAAATTGAACAGTTTTCTGCAAAATTTGTCTAAAAAAAACTGTTTCCATTTCAGTGTTTTCAAAAGTATCCTGTCCAGTTCCAAAACTGGTAATTGATCATCATGCAGCTGATAAATTCTCATGCAGTAGTAACATGCGGCTCTTGAAGCCAAAGATCACAGTGCATCCATTCACAGGTAACCATTATATTAACCAAATAAGAAGCCATATTCGTAACCACTACAACTTTAGTAAAAACCAAAAGCCACTCAATATTCTAGGCTATAAAGCTTCTATAGCACTGTAGTTTCTAAAACAGGTAAGACAAAAGCTACTATTTTATTCCTTGAATCTCATTTTGATGGAAGCTATAAACACCTGGTACCCAACTTTAATCCACTACAACGTACTTTTTTCAGTGTAAATATTGAAGTGCAACCTTTCAAGTAAATCATAAGTTCAAGCTGTTCAAACCAAAAGTGAACTAAATTAATTATTTTTGAGTTGTATGGTTTCATGCCCCTATTCTCAAACTTGGAACCACATCCTCTTTCTAAAGGAACCAAAGACTTGGGAGCAAAAACAAAGGGGGAAGGGTGTAGTTAGAGCTGTATCAAATATTAAGGTCTTCTAGTTACATTTTGAAACATTTGCTCAGGCAAGAAAAAAATGTAATAAAGACAAGTTAAAACTCTACATTAGGAACTAACACACATGCAGGCTTCTTTCAGTTACAAAATATGATTGATACTTACAATTATACAAAATTCTTTAAGATGCTTTCCCATTTCCCCAATAAGTCATATATTGTATATTTATACTTAATCCTATATAGCCAGTGACAGAAAACAAAAGGTTACCTTTTCTACCAGGTTTCATTTCACCTTCTTGATCCATCCAGTATTCCCTAATATCAATTAGGACTTTCCCTTTAAAGTCACGAACGCTCACATACCTCATTTTGCCAATCTACAAATAAAACAAATCATCAGAACAAAATTTTAGATAATTTACATAGAACAGGAATTTCTTAGCAGCACTAGATAGTTTTCCTTAGCAGCACTAGATACTTTGACATGCAACACTGCACATAAGTGCAGCTTATTTTAGATATAAGAAGAATGACTGGATTAACTGTTTTCACAATGAAGTTCATCAAGATTAATAAAGGATGACCACATAAATGGACGAAAGACTTAAAACTTTTAAAAAATTTAGTACCATCTTCCAGCTGAAATAACTGTCTGAGAATAAGCTGTGTACCTATCTAGTAACAATAATCTCCAACTTGCGAAAAAAAGTCCTACCTTCTTATGCAATCCTGTCTGTCACAGGTGGAAAGTGCTAGCAGGAAAGAAATCCATTCAATTTCCCTCCCCCTCCCCGCATACCATTTTTTGAAATCAAGACAGCAGCAGAACTATTATCTCCTCCAACTCTAAATGTGAGTATATGCTACCAGAAATCAAACAACATTTACACACATTAGATATACAGAAATAATTTAAGTCACTCATTTTTCAACTGGATTTGGTTGGGAGTGAAGAAAAGCTACTAGTCCCAATATATCTGACAAAGACTGTTTGATGCTTGGCTCCTGACTAAATCCTAATGCAATTCAGTTAAAGCACTGGATGTCAAATCAGAATAAAAACAAATGAGTACCAGATTCCAGGGAGAGCAGATTCCAGAGCCTTGGCAAACAACTGACTGATACTGCAGAATTAACTGCACTGGACAGAGCCATTAAAATTACTTCAGTTCAAATATCATTTCTTATAGACTCAAATCTCTTGTATACAAGGTCTGAAGTTTTGCTATAGAGGAACTAGACAAGACCAATAGCAAAAATCAATGCAAAAATGTATTTATAGCCAGCATAAGAATAATGGGAATATGAGGAGTGGAAATAAGAAACTGAAACTATTCAGGGACAACTGAAATACCAGTGCCTAATCAATTTAATTAAAGTATCCAAAACATGTAAGGGATTCCAGACAAAAATGAGGAGTGCCTGAACGCAGGGCATGCACTCTAAAAAGTTTCATTTCAAAGTGTTCCTATTGGTAAGGTGACAAATAGCCTCATAAGAAGCTAATGCTTGAAGTGAATCTTAAGGTAAGCTGGTGTGCAAGTATTATGAAACAATCAGCAGCAATTTTAATTAGTGTTAAATCTGGCAGGAAACAAGAACAAGACTGAAGAAGTTCCAGTTAAGTCTCAGGTTACACAGTTGCTTGATAAGCAACTTAATTTATTAAAGGTTTGGGAAGCAGGCTAATGCACTGGATTCTAGAGGTGGCATGAAGTTTGGAAGTCTTGATGTACCTTGCATGTGAAGTTTAACTTTTTCATCTTCTTCACCATCATTCTCAGGGCAGTTGTACATTAGAAATGTATACTATAATAAGCCCTAGTAGGGCAGCAACTGCTTCCATTAATACTACAAAGTTTGACACTGGAAGAGATCATAAGCTATTCATAAGCTATTTGAAGGTTTAACTCAGTGTTTTCCAACCAGTGTGCCACAGCACAAAAGTGCGCCATCAGAAATGAACAGCTGTGCTGCAGAATTTTGCCACAGCAATGAGCTACAGTAGGTATGAGGATGGGGAATGCCATAACAGGTTTGCCATGGAACATTTTTATTAAAGTATGTGTGCCTTGGGCTGGAAAAGTTTGTGAAACACTGGTTTAACTGATCAACTGGAGGAGCAATGTAACCACATTCTGAAAATAAAAGCAACAAGATAGGTAGCTCCTCCACACCCTCCGCTAAATTTTTCAATATTGGTGGAAGAGTGTACTATTTAGGTTAGGACACAGAGTTTGATATTCTGAGTGTGCTAAATGAGAACCTGGAGTATGACCCTTATTAACTTCAAGTTTCTTCAAAAATGGCCCAGAAATAGAAAATTAGTTTACTCCATTTTGTTCTATAGCTATGGTGGCTTGTATAATGATTTGGACAAAAGCTAAAGCGTCACAATTCTCCTATGACAAAAATAAACACTTTCTTCTTCTGCAAGTAATGATATGACAACAAAGAGTTGTATGGCAAAAAACCATAAGAGCAGAAATTAGAACCAAAATGTTCCTGATCTAGCCCAGTCCTCCAAATCACACTGTCTATCAGAAAGCTTTAGTGTAGCCTAAATAGTTCTAGATTTGCTCTAATATAACCTGACAGGACATAACAGATTAAAGAGTGAAAATGCTGATAAGGTTCTTTAAAAATATGGGAGCTAAATCAAGAGAAACGGTAGTATGATTATGTGAGTGTGTAAGTAATCAGCAAAAAGCAACAGATGGTACAATAGATGAAAGTGGTGAAACAATGGGGGGTTAAACACAAAAGAAATGGCAAACCTGCTTAATTTATGGATATACATAGTTAATTGCTTCCCCATATTCAATACCCTAGCTTACAACTGTCACTATTTTAATTAATGCTTTCATAAGTTTTCAAATTAATTTTAGTCCATATTTACTAGTAGAAGCCTGACAAAATAAAGGTAGATTTCACAGGACAAAGAACATCAAGAACCCCTTTTAATGTATAACTTTTGATCTCCAGTGTTACTTTTGAAAAGTTTTTTTTTTAAATCCCACACAAAGGATAAATGGTTGTGACCAGAGCAGCTATAAAAGTCAGGCAGGAAGCAGGATAGAGTTGTACCTTATAGACTAACTGAATCAGAAATGCATAAGTTATCACGAACAGTTCACTTCATCAAATATGTGACTTCAGAGTTAACCATGTTACTGTCAGCCATTTTATTTGAATAACTGCACCCAAGCTACTACGGACTATCATACGCGTAGTGAAAGTACGGCAGTATTTGGGTGCAGATGAAATGTAAGTCTCATGAAATTCCACAGCTCTTTGTTGACTAATGGTTATGACATTGGATTGACATGGGTTCCTCTCACCATTCTGCCACTGATTTGACATATGATCCTTAAAGCCACTTAAATCCTCCATAATGGTCTCCACTCTCACTTAGTAGATATTGTTATTAAGCTATACATTGAGGGTGGAAGTTTCTAAAGTGTTTGTACAGCAGCTTCAGGGTTAGAGTTACAACAGGTTTCTTCAAGAGAGTGCTGATCTTAGCTGAAGTTGCAGATGCAGCCACACAAGGTGGAGACATTATCTTGACCGGGGCGGGCAATTATTTTGGGCGGAGGGCTGCTTACTCAGTTCTGGCAGGCTGTCGAGGGCCGCATGGGCAGCCCCGTCCCCTGACAGGTGCCCCACCCCCTGGTCACCGTCCTGGGATCAATGTCAGCACCAGTGGGGCCCAGAGCAGGGCACAGGCTGGCAGGGGTCCGTGCAGGGCTGTCTGGAGCAGTGGGACTGGGTTACAAGCTGGTGCTGAGCCGGGGGGTGCCTGCTCCGGACAGCCCCACGCAGGCTGCGAGCACCTGCAGCACAGGGCGCTGGCCATGGGGCAGGCGAGGGGCCGTTTTTCTCCATGCAGGGAAGGAGCCCAGGGAAAAGCTGAGCGTAAGCGGCCCCTCCCCGACCCCATGCCCAGTGCCCCAGGCTGCAGGCGTTTGCAGCCCGCATGGGGCTGTCTGAAGCAGGCACAGGCAGCCCCACACGGGCTGCAACTAGCTGCAGTGCAGGGCACCGGGCATGGAGTGGGGAGGGGCCGCTCCCCCCGCTTCCTTGCCCGGGGTCCCCCGCCCCCACTTACCTGAGCTTCCCACACCCCCGGGGCAGCCATGTGCTCTGAGAAACCCCGGTTGGGGGAGGTGGGGCCGGGCAGGCCCTGCTGTTGTTAGAGCCCACCAAGCTTCCCCTGGGTCCTACTGCCCTTGGTTCCTGTTATTTTTGACAGGAACCAAGGGCAGAGAAATATTGATTTTCTACATTTTTTTAGGGGCCCCGCAGGCCAGATAGAATGGCCTCACGGACCGGATCCGACCTGCGGGCTGTATTTTGCCCACCCCTAATCTTGACTCATTAGTTCAGCTTGGAGCAACTTCACCTTAAATTGCCACACAGTACAACAGTCCAGATCAAAGTGCATTTCCACAGGTGTCACACTGAATTACTATTTATGGCCTAGTTATAAGCCCTATATTAAACAAAAATATAATACATGCTTGAACCTCAAAAAAATAACGGACTGTGAAAAAGGCAAGATACTGGGAATAACCAATACAACCAATAAAGAAAAGTTTCAATTTACTGTAACAGCTTAGATTCTATTACCGAATCATAAAATTCCTTTTTCTTCTCACAAATTAATTTTTAGGCCAGGAGGATGTCAAGAAACTCAATGCTATGTTATCTAGAAAGACAATGAATATATTCAAGTCTCTTCCTAAAAATGTATAAAACAAACAATATCAAAATAATAGTCAACTGCCCACCACAGGTGGTGACAATGGAAGGGGGGAGGGGCAGGCCAAGGCCAGCAGGCTCACCCCCCCCACAGCATCTGACCCCACTCCTCCCCCCCCACCCCCCTCAGAGCAGGGCAGGGGGGGCGATGCCAGTGCTGCTCCATCTAGTCCGTTGCCAACACCTCCAGGGAGCAGGGCTGCACTGGCCTCACCCCCCTGCTCCATCCCTGTGTCCCTGCCATCATGGCAGCGTGTTGCCACCTGTCCCAACGCTTCTTTGCACTTTGACTGGATGTTTCTCAGATTGAGGTTTTTATAATATTAGAATAATATGCTATTTAAGGATCCCTCTAACTCAGGAGTCAGCAGTGTTTGTGAGCACAGTGCCAAAAACACCTGCAACTTCAACTTCTAAGTTGTTGGCCTTCAGTCAGTGCAGATGTAGTTAGGGATCTTCTGGAAGGGCTAAACATTTTTAAATCTGCAGGTCCAGATGCCCTCCACCCAAGGGTGTTGAGGGAGCTGGCAGGGGTCATCACAGAGCCCTTGGCCC